AGCGTGAGAAGAACTAAGCTTTCTGGAAGCCCCACACTCGAACTTTCGGCGCCTGGTCGGTTGGCGCGCGTATTTACATGAATATTCTGAATGTTTCGGTGAAAAAGGTGTATTTAAATTAATTGGTGTATAATTGGTGTGTCTATTTTATCTAATCTTAGCGACGGTATTGTTTTCGCAACGATATATGTTTATTTAAAATGTTTAGTAATTTCAAAGCTACGTCGTCGCGGTTGGATAGTGATTACACTTTTTTCAACGCGCGGTAACACGGTTTGCTGCTCTAGTTTTGTATTACTCAATGTTTGAACTAAAATTCTACAGTTCTGTAAACGATGAAAAAATTCCGTAGATTTATGGAAAAAGCCGTAGAGTTGGCAGCGCAGGCTTGCGAACCCATACGAACCAAGGGGAATCAGTGTTGCCAACTCCTATAAATCTGAGTCCCTAGCAACGAGGTTAGAGAGAAGGAGAACGATCGCTGTAGAAAACAGTCCCATAAATATGGACAAAATAAGTAAGGCGCTGAGATCTGTAAGTTGTCTCAATAAAAGTCATTTTTAGTCTATTTTTCCGATCAGATGCTAAACTACTTGCACATCTACGCAAAATACAATATTTCACCATTTTTTAATGTTTCTTTCCGCCAAAAATTTTAAAATTACGGAGCACGATAATTTTTTCACAAACTAATTTCATCTACTTGTTGTTGAGACTAGGGGTTCCCGAGTTCGATTCCCAGGTCGGGCCTTAACCCTATTATGCGAGATGTTACTAGGTGGACTGTATGTGCGGTTTCCTGATACCTTAAAACAAGATGGCTGACGTGGCACGCGACAGCCTTGGACAATGTCCAAATCCAAATGTTCCAAATCTATTGCTTCACCAGGGTCGAGAGTAAGGTCTACTTGAGCCGGTAGGAGAGAAAATGTGACGGAAGAACAAAGAAAACAAAAAAGGCTCAAGTAAGTAAAATAAAATAAAGGGGATACGCATTTACTGGGGTGGAGTCCTGATGCCGCGGACAACGCTTCTGTTCTGGTGGTGCGTTGGAAGAGAGGTGCGCGACGATTATTCTCACTACGCGAGGCGGTTACTTTTGTGGCGCGACTGCCACAAAGATGCGTTGAAACTAGCGGTGCGTTGGCAGAGAGCTGGCTGGTTACCCTGTCGGTTCAGTCGGTTGGATACAGTGGAAGTGCCATTTGTAATTGATTTAGAATATATACGAGGCTTTGGACTCGCGGGACACCGCCGAGAGCCCTATATTCGCTTAAATTTCGGTCAACCTCATCGTATCCTTGCTCTACCGCGACCACCTGTTTGACGGTATGAACTTTACGTGGCGTGTTTTCACCACGCTGTGGGAATATGTGAAGTGTACCTTGTGAGGTTGACGCACCAAACTGTTGCTACCTGTTGTTATTATATTGTCGTTAGCGACAATTTTCTATATTGTGACCGATACTCTTACAGTATCGACAAAAAACATTAGTGTAAGTCCTAAAATTATCGGGGCGGTAATTGGGTTGAAATGGTAGATTACTACGGCGAGGCGGCGATCTTCTATTATTATATATAGGTTCGGATTGTGGTGGTTGATGTGTTTTCCCTATGCTGGAAAGAATTTTCTCTTTGGCTACTTGCAAAGTTAACGGCTGAATTTAAAGAGTCAGGGTCACGACACTTGACTATCTGGGATAATCGCGGGTGGAGTCCTATGACGAGTGTGTGGAGGGCTAGATCCTCCATAGCGGCTACGCGGCCTGGTAGTTCCGTTTTCCTTTTTGTTGGAATAGAAATATTTACTTCAGTCAATAATTTAGCCATGAATGTTTCTATTCTTAAAGCAAATTGGTTAACTGATTCTGTCGAACCCTGCTTACAGTCCTGTAGGTCCGACAGAAGATGGGAGTAGTGTTTTCGTTCGCCGAATTGTTGTTTCAAAAATTGTAAAAATTGTTCAAACGATTCAAATTCTTTAATACTACACGTTGTTTCAGCCCTACCTTCTAGTTGGCTTAATAAATATTTAAATAATATTGATTTTTGGGATTTAGAAGCAAGACTATATGCATTTTGGCAATTGGATATGAATGGGTTTAATTTTTCTCGTGATCCATCAAAAGGTTTAATAAATTTTAGTAACACACATATTTCTACTGTTTTTTCTTCTATATTCGCCACGCATTGGTAGGTTCCTCACAAAATATACTGTAATATACAAAATAAACTGATTTGATTTGATTTCTAGAGGCACAGGGAGTTTCTTCACACTTACTCATTGTAATAATTTAGTTATACGTTATAAATTAAAAGTAAACTGTAGTCCGCTTATCGGCTAAGGTATGTAACAGTGAACAAAAAGTAATATCAACATAAACACATTCAACAATGTAGTTGATTTATATTAAAAATGTTATAGTGTAACATAAATTATATTTTAAAGTTATTTAAAGAATGTCTTTGCTCTAAGTTCAATTATAAAATCCGAAATAGTTATTTATAAGAATTTCACTTACAGGAACAATGATAGAGTGATGATTAGGCTTGCGTTCATGTTTATTATGCGTTGGAAACAGAGACCCTCGTATGCCAACAAGGATGGCGATGTTGAGCAGGGGTCACCCGATGATGAGTAGGACGCTGGATGATGCAGAGGGCCTGTTCTTATGACAGGCTGGGTGTCGATTTTCTTGATGCACTTTCACTTTCTTTATACTTTATTTTACTTTTGATTTTGTTGTATTTGTAAAGATTCACTTTATTAACTTTCACTTTTGAACAGAGTTCTTTCGAAACGTATTTGGGTTGGATTTTCGTATCCAATCGCTGCCACCAATATTATACGGAACCGTGGATAGAGCTTTTTTTTAAAAAAAACTATTTATTACACGACACAACATAATTGAATTAAATTAACAATAAAGAATTAGTAAACTTATGATATAGTAATAACTGGGATTTAGAAAGATTTTGTAAGGATATAGTAACGATGACTGAGACTGGAATGAGACTTGTAGATTGACTGTAGACTGATTGAAGACTGCCCGGAGTTCTTTTTTTTTGCGCCCGAAGCAAATATGGGCAACCCTCCGGAAAGCGGGGAAGGGAGGTTGTGAATGCTCAGTGGTTATGTGATGACTTTTACCCACTAAACCCAACCTTTTAGGAACTGGCTTAACAATCTGACTAGAGATCTCTAAGCCGTATATGAACGCGACCCTCCTTCGCAGAAAGGAGGGTGCAAGCGGCGAAAAGTCGCTTAGAAGAGTGCCTAACTAAGGCAGATTAAGGGATGTGTTATGTAGGCTCGGCCTGAGCCGCCAGGAGGCAGTTCAGGTCAGCCGAAAGCTTGTTGGGGGGGTACCCGGAGTTCGTCGGGAGATCGGTTATATAGGCCTTATGTCGCTGACGCAGCAGCGTGAAAGAGATGCACTAACCGATCTCCTAACATTGATGAGGTATAACAGCTCGAAGGCTGCGGGCGGGCCCCCCTTATTGAGTCGGCCATCTTACCACCTCATCTCAGAGGGGCGCGCGTTTTCATTGGCTGACAAGGTGGCACTACATTTTAGACCCCCCTCCCCCTTCAGTGTGTGAGGAAGGAATATGGATACGGAAAGGACGGACACTGGCGAGCAATATACCCCCCGAACAAAATTGTAAGAATACCCGATTCTTTTTCCGCGTAACCAACTTGTACTAATAAACAGTAAACTTTGCAGATACTACTTACCGATGGCAGTTCAGGAACGGGCTATGCTTTAGCACGAAATGATCGTTCTCCCTCTATCTAACCTCCATGGTCCCTGGGCTTAATATTAAAAGTCGCTAGAAAGTCGCTATATAGAACCCGTTTTATAAAAGAAATCCTTTAGCCGCGGCACCACAGTCTTTGCGAAGTTTGACATCTGGTATTTTTTTTATTAAATTTTAGTTCGCACATTTTCCGTGGGATTTACTTTTTTGTTTGTAAGCGTATACTTCCCAGGTGGTCCCATTTAAATTTTATCGAAATCGGTTGAGCTTGACACGACTATTCTAGATCTCGATAACAGCGCTACTTACCAATCGTGAGTCGAAACACAACACTCACATTTATCAAAATCAGTCCAGCCGATCTCATGTGATGATCTTTCATATTCGTGGTAATTGATTTTAAGTTATAAAGATTTACCACTTACATAGCGGAAAACCATCGACTGTATTCAACAAAGCTTTATCTGTTTGGATGGATTTATTTTCAATTTTATGAAGGTAAGGCAGGACCTTAAAAATGCGGTACAGCTGCAGCGTAAAATAAACCACTAGCTCCTAGAAAAATTATATATTATACCATACCATCCCATAGTGTCGTAAAAGATGACATGGGAAAATAAAATAGAAGACAGGCAAGATGTTGCAGAAAGAAGCGGCAGATGTTGCAGAAACATTGATGATGACATCGATGCTATCACTACCACGCTATCATCGATAGCTCAATATCGATGTTTGATGTTTATCTTACTCAAAACATCGATGTTGAACATTATCGATGTTTTTTGTACATGTATTTAATAGGTTAGAATTAGATGAATAAAAAATGGATATGTTATTTACGGTATATTATTAATGAAAATGAAATTAATAAACAGTGTCAATGTTAGCGTGTTAGTGTTAGTTTAAAACAGTTATTAAAAATTGGAAGAACTTAAGAAATATCTACTTCATTTGTTATTCAGTCCAATAATTTTTGATGTTGATTGAAGAGATAGTAATTTTGACAAAGAAGTACCTTTCAATCTGTTTCTCTGTTGATAAAGAGTTGAGCCAGCTTTTGAAAATAACGTCCCAATAATCGATTATGGGTTCATCGAAACATCGATGACATTAGGCACAACATCGATAATCATCGAACATCCCTACTTTGATCTCTTTGAATGACTTTGAAATATTCTTTGTGTTTATTTTATACTTGTATATTTTTTGGTTATTCCAAATACTTAGTTTTAGATAGAATGCATTTAAAATATTTAATAATATTGTTATTGGAGATAGTATTATTAGTCGATGGAGGTAAACACTTTAGACTTGGACGAAGTAAAGGTGGGAATTTAGGTGCACCCGGCAATTACTCGGGTGAAACATTACCACCTGCCGAATGGTTTATACAAAAATTAGATCATTTTAGCCCTACCGATTTAAGGACTTGGAAACAGGTAAATCAGATTTAACTAACCACGCAAACCTAATAACTACATTATCCACAAAAGAGTAGACACTATTCATAATTACTTAAAAATATATTTTCGCTATAAAACTGTAATTGTTATATGAGTTTTTAATCATTTTTAGAGATATTATGTGAATGATAGCTTCTATGACTATAAAAATCCGGGTCCCATATTTCTTATGGTCGGTGGAGAGGGCCCAGCTGATCCGAGATGGATGGTTAAAGGCACTTGGATTGATTATGCTAAAACTTTTAAAGCTCTCTGTATCAACTTAGAGCATCGATATTATGGAGAGAGCCACCCCACTGCGTAAGTTATTTTTTTATTATATAAGAAAATAATTCCATAAGTTTTGAGAGTAAGTAAAACGTCAGATTAACTCTTCCTCCTAATTGCTGAGGGGTGTTGTGGGGGATGAGAGATAGAGAGGGAGAGAATGGAAAGGGATCACCCTGCAGCTAAGTTAAACTGAGAAAAGTAATGATTTCAATCATAAAAAATATTTGATGGTAATATAATATAACATAAACACAGAGGGGTAGGCAGAGACTACAGGCACGATCCTGACACACCTGTTTCGCCTCCTACACATTCCTACACATTTACCTTTGCATACATGCTTGTCGGTTAAGGGTACTCCTAATTTGGCCCATTTTCTATATATCGCCAATATAAAGAGCAAAGACCAAAGAGCCTACTCCTTTTTAAAAGGCCGGCAACGCATCTGCAATTCCCCTGGTGTTGCAGCATTCAGGGGCAGCGTTAATCACTTACCATCAGGTGAGCCGTACGATTGTTTGCCCCCTCTCCTATAAAAAAAATATGGTTGATGAACTTGATGTCCCTTTCCGACTCTTCCGTTCTGCAACATAAATTTGCTTTGTCACTCTTTCCTCATTCATTCTTTCTTCATGACAAATATTTGATAGAGTACAAATTGCAGAGGGAGTTTGAGGGAAAAGTAAAGCACATAGTTAAAATTAGCACATAAGATTGCACTGAACAATTTCATTAGTGATGGCCCGGAATATAGTTGCTTGCATACAGTGCAATTTACAGCATTTGCTTTTCCACTGAGCTATCACGGCTATTGTGAACATATTTAAACTTCTTTTTTTACAGTTATTCTTTTTTCATTACAATAAATAAAAACTCTTTGAAATTATTGGTCATTATGGATTTTAAGGTGAGTAAAAGAATATTCTATAATTTTGTTACAGTGACCTTAGCACAAAGAACTTGCAATACTTATCGTCTAGCCAAGCATTAGCAGACCTGGCGAACTTCATCACAGTAATGAATGAGAAGCTCAAATTAAACAAGGAAGTAAAATGGGTGGCATTTGGCGGATCTTACCCTGGATCATTGGCTGCTTGGTTGCGGATGAAGTATCCCCACCTGGTATTTGCAGCTGTTTCCTCCAGTGGACCATTATTGGCGAAAGTCAATTTCATGGGTAAATTAAAGTGCAATATATTTTATGTGTTTTTATATGTAGTAGTAGTAGAACCACACTGCAACTATATTATGGTTGTAGAATTGATGGGTTGGCTTGATCGGGGTAGGACACTTTCATAGAATACCAACGTAAAATAGTGAATATAGAAATATAGGCTGTGCTACAGTCCCTTCAGCGGTGCCAAGTTGACTGTCTGTATAGTGAAGTGTATTTACAGTAGGGCTGTAATAGCTATCCTAATACAGAATTAGAGTATGAAACCTATCCAACTGCAGAGAGGTGTAAGACAGGGTGACGTAATATCCCCAAAACTCTTCACCGCTGCATTGGAAGACATTTTCAAGCTACTCGACTAGAAAGGATATGGTATTAACTTCAAAGGCGAGTACATCACTCACCTTCAATTTGCCGACGATGTAGTCCTTACGGCAAAATCGCTGGAGAACCTAAGCACTATACTCAACAACCTCAATAGTGTCTCCCAATGGATAGGTCTTAAGATGAACATGGACAAAACAAAAGTCATGTGTTACTTCTATGTCACACAATGCCAGTAGTTTTTGGGATCTCGAAGTTGTATGTTTAACCTGGGACAAATAGTTCGACTAGGTAAGTCCAACTTCGACCGAGAGGTCAAGTGACGGATTTAACTCAGCTGGGTAGAGTTCGGGAAATTGGGACATATCTTCTCGTCAGGCATACCTCAAAATCTGAAAACTAAATTTTAGAATCAGTGCGTGTTGCCAGTGATGACCTATGGATCTGAGTCGTGGTCCTTCACTGCTAGCCATATGAGGAAGCTATGGAGAGGGTTAAGCTTGGGATTTCTCTGCGTGATAGACTTAAAAAGGAGGATATCCGCAGTAGAACCAGAGTAAACTACATAGCCTTACGGAAGTGACAACCCAAATAACACATCAAAGCTGTATAACGGCCGACTTAATGCATTTCTATATCATTTTTGTATTTTGAGTTAGTTCTATAGTAGCATTACAAACGTTTATATGGATTCTGTATTGCTTATTTGGGCACAAGTTGTTGTTTAATTGCATTACAGGGCATTATATTAGCATTATTGTGGTAAAAGAAGGTATCGATTGCAATTAAGAAGCATTATTATTGTCAACGAAGTTGCCAATCACTTTAAAGAAGCATCGTTACGGTTAATGAAGTTGCCAATCGCATTACAGAAGAATGTTATTGATTATGAAGATGTTAATTGTATTACAAAAGCATTAGACTAGCATTAGAATGTAGTAAAAAAATGATTGGAGCTATTTGTGTTCACAGTTATAACTGCAAAAACATCTGTATTACGCAGTAGTAAATGTTATGATACAATCAACATTGTAATTTAACTACTTAATTTATCTCTCAATATTATATATGGAAGAAGGAAGGCGGTTAACACTGATTGAGTGACATGACCATATTTGTATGCATCAAAAAAAAGTTTATAAAGTTTTTGACTCTGGTTATTTCATGCCTTCTAATATTACTGCGCAATGTACTGCTAACTACTACTAACAATGTACTACTATTGTTTACTGTAAATGTCTATATAAGTTTCATTGAAAATTTTCACGCGCCTTCGATATTTTGTGGTTTTGATATAAAATTATTTTAGACAAAGAGAGTAGGTATTACACAAAGATATGTGTGAAATTACCACAACAATTGTGTATTCCTACTATAGAACGAATTTTGCATAATTAACATAATAGTATTTGCTGGGCAGTATTAAATTAAGCTATATCATTATTATAAAGGTCTATTGCTTTTATAAATAGGTGTGAATGATAATATTTTTGGTTATCAAATATTTACAAAATGGTGTCTGTCTAAACATAGCAGCCTGGTGAGCCTTTAAAAAGGCTAATTAATGCCGCCAGCAGTATAAATACTCACACATGAACAATTATTAAGTCAGAGGCCCGAAAGAAGACTTTTGATGAACCACTGCAGTACATTGTCTATAAAGTAGCTCTGTATGGATTCACCGGTATTCTAGTAGACTCGATGTAGACTGAAATAGTGTCATTAGCTCATTACTTGAACGCTATAAACTTATATGATCAACAAAACATGCGCATATATTTGCTATTTCCCACAATATGGCCGCTTTAATTACAATAACTGACGTGTATTTGATTAAAGAGGTGTTAGCTATACAACAGAACTCAGTTGATCCTTAAATGATTCACGTTCATGCTATTCAGCAGTACTAGGATTTTACTTACCACTTAAAAGTGCTATTACACAACGAAGGGCACTAAAAACAACTCAAAGCTGTTTAACAGATTTACGGTGCATTATAAAAGTACAAGTTTATGCTATTAAGCAGGTCGTAGTAGATGGTGCAAGCTCTGATTACAAGCCTATTAACGCTGGTGTTCTACAAGGCTGTGTGTTATCACCAACGCTGTTTCTTCTGCATATCAATGATATGTTGCAAACTGATAACATTCATTGCTATGCAGACGACAGCACTGGAGAAGCCTTATACACCGGCCGTGCCAATATTCGGGAAATCGTCGCTGAGTACCGGGACAAACTTGTGTCTGGAATCGAGTCTTTGCTTAACAAAGTCTCGGATTGGGCGCCACTAAATCTAGTCCACTTCAATCCCCAGAAGACACAAGTTTGCGCGTTAACCGCTAAAAGGAACCCCTTTGTTGTATCTCCTCATTTTGAAAGCACTCCCCTTGCTACCTTAGCTAGCATCAGAATGCTGGGCGTCGGCATATCGAATAGTGTGCAGTTTCGTGGTCACTTAGAGGGGTAGGCCAAGTTGGCCTTAAAAAGCTTGGCGTGCTCAGCAGAGCGAGACAGTATTTCGAGCCGGCACATCGCTTTACAAAGCGCAAGTTCGGCCTCTCACTGCTCTCATCTCTGGGCCCGGGCACCCGGGAGTTCTTTCTGATCGGCTCGTTTCACTGGCGCTGCGTAGGGATGTTGCATACCTTTACGTTTTCTATAGTATTTACCATGGGGAGTGCTCTGAGGAATTGTTCGGATTAGGGATTCGAATCCAGGACCACATAATCAATAGTCACGTTAACAACCACTATATACTGCCTAATCATCCTGTATGATGGCCCAGAAAAGGAAAATGGAAGTAAAATTAACTAATATATTTAAAAACGTTTAATTTCTTATAATGTAAAGTTGATTTTTTTTAATACTAATATCTTTATTTCCATACAACATATCAGTTAACAATATGTTTATTTATAAACTACACAGGAATATTTTATCTTATAACATGAAAAATAGCATCCATTGCCGAACTAGACCAGAACCTGTATTTCAGCATATGGCGCCACTTCCCGGACATAATAAACATGAATTATTTATTTATATTATGTAAACATTACCAAAATTTATTTTTTATATTACCTAGGTGTTATAAAAATTGTAAAATAGAAAGAAAAAAATATGTAAAATGTGCCTCTTTAGTATATGGTGCTAGTGTACGCGTGTGTATGTAAGAGGGAGTGTACGAGATGAAGAATACGAATTAAATATAATTTTATTTTATGAAAGTCATGTTATCAAGACGACACCCTTAACGGTTACGACACTCTTCCAAGCAAGCACGAAAATTCTGAAAAACTTTCGTAAGAGTTTCTCTTGAAATGGATTCTATTTCTTGCTGAATATTCAGCTTTAGTTGCCCTTAACGTTGTCGGATTATTGTAGTGTACCTTACCTTTATGGTGTCCCTATAGAAAGAAGTCTGCTGGACTTAAATCGGGGATCATTGGTGCTAGGAAATGTTACCTCTCCGTTAAATCAGTTTCTGTGGTTATCCATTACCGCGCGCGTTTTAATTTGAAGTGTGACACGTGTCTCCATCCTGCTGAAACCAAGTGTTCCTATTGTAAGCTCGCGATTCATGCAATTTAGAACCAAGAAAATCCGTCAGCATAGCTATGTACCGCTTTGAATTCACGGTAACTGTTACCACAAATTGAAAGAAAAAGGCCCTGGTGATACCCCATCTTGCGATTTCAGCCCAAACCTTAACCTTTGGTGAGTGAAGTGGCTTCTGGGATTCTATGCAGCTCAATACCGTCAATTTTGTTTACTAACAAAACCGTATATATAAAAATTAGCTTCACGGAAAAGATAATGCTTTTAAATCAGTGAAATTGTCGAACATTTCATTTGCAAAATTTAATCTCGATTCAAAGTGTGTAATTCAACTCCTGCACGAATTGAATCTTATTGGGATGTAATTTCATATCCAGATGCAAAATTCGTTGCAACGTGGATCTAGACATACCTAAAACAACGGAACGTTTACGAGTCCGACATTATTGCATTCGAGCGCAAAGATTCTCGATCATGCTGAATAGTTTCGTCAGGGCGACCTTGAGGGCGTGTTTTTTGTGCCGATCCTGTTCTTTAGAATATCTTAACCCACTATTTAACTAAATTAGTCCTCGGGCACCCACTAATACCCCATAGTTCGAATTTGAAACGAAAAAGACGTACAGTCACGTTGTCAAAACAGACGCGGACACAGAACGCGCGCTCTTCTCTCGTGTAGCGACTCATAGTTACTAAAATTGCAATGGCTGTTGGCCGCGCTACGCACTGATGCCCCCTCCGCGCCCCTCATTTATAACGTTTAGAAATTAGTGCAGCTTCAAAACTAAGTTTCTGGGCCACCCGGTATCATGCTTACAAGTGTCTCCAGAAGTAACACCACACCTATAGAACTTTGTGTAGGTGATCACAGACCGCTTTTGTCACATGCCGTCAGATGTAATGTTAGCTTGCTTGTCAACTAGGTGGAAACATATCTGGTTAAAAACTTAAGAAGGTTATATTTTGGGGCTGGGTTTGTATTGTCTAACACATAATTACGATGACAGAAAGAAATGGAATAAAGAGTTTTTTTCATAGAAGAAGAGTGACAAACGAGCACACAGTGCACCTGATGGTTAGTGAATGCTGTGGTCCACAAACATCTATATGTATCATCTATTAAGAATAAAAATCATGATATGCTAAGAATGCTATTTATGCTAAAAAACTGGCGATTCCTTGGCAAATAAAGCATCTACTTCCTGGAACCTAATGTATTATACAACTTATAGTCATGACCTTATTTCTCTTGTGAAATCCATCAGATCTCAGATTGGAATTCTCTTTGGAAAACAAACTCAGAAGTCTGTAGGTAAATATTATGCGGAAGTCCAACCTGACATGGTTTTTTAAATTGATAAAAGGCTGAAAAAGAACTAAGTTGGACTACCTCATTTCCAGTAAAAAGGGTCTCCGGTTCTACACTCACCTGTACACCCTGTTCACTCACCATACGAAATACAGCAGTATTAAGCTGCTATTTTGTGCTGGTATTCTGTCACATTATATTATAGTAGCAGTTATTATAGTAGCAGCCTCGTAGCGGCAAGCCCCGTGTGGGCTGGCTGTATTGTTTGGCTTGACAACCTAGTAAGACATGCAGGAAGTTAATGGATGCACGTGACTCTGGACCGTGCTTTGTGTCGTTACCTGAGGGAGGATGATGTTCAGCAGTGGATTTGTAAAGCGCTGTTATGATATTGACATTAAACATTAATTATTTCAGAGTATTTTCAAGTGGTGGTGAATGCGCTGCGTGAGAAAACGGGTGGGGAGGAATGCGTCGATCAGCTGCGTCTTGCGCACAAACAGATAGAGGATATGATGAAGACTGAGCCGGATGCTATTGAAAAGGAATTTAGGTATATTTTATTACTAATCAATGTGTGTTTATAAACTCCATTTACGTCTTTATTTTTTATTCTATATTGAAAAAAAAAACAATAGTGATTTTATGGATGGTAGAGCTCCGACTGTGCTAGTACTACTACATTTTTACCTATTTCTTCTTTAAGAGTGCATCTACTTTAGTTCCCATTTGAGGACAATGAGAGACATTATCCCTAAATAGTGTTATATTTATATCTTAATATATATAAATTACGTGTCACGTTGTTTGCCTGCGATGGAATCCTAAACTACTTAACCAATTTTAATCAAATTCGTACACCGTGTGGAGTTTGGTCCAACTTGTGAGATAGGATAGTTTTTTTTGCCAACTGTTTTATTTTTGCGAATTTAAGGAGTTTTAATAAGACATGGCAAATTGTCGTCAAAAAGGGCAGAACAACGTCTGCCTGGCAAGCTAGTTTTATATATATTTTTAGGTTAAGGTATATATTGCTATGGGCTAATAATGTTCTTAATTTTTAAGTCCTTTATGCCTGTAATAAAGTTATTGTATTATATTATAATAACAAGCTGTGCGGCATTCCATCATAATATTCTGGAGTGTCTTCTTGAAGTGTAGCTAAATTTATTACACAAATGACTCGTACACATAATTATGTACTTAAAATTATTATTAGGAAAACGACAGCATATGTAATAAAAAACATGCAACATGAAAATATACTCGTATATATTTAACAAGTTTAATATATTAAATTAGCATTACTTTCACATGTGTTGTAGCATGTTCGATTAAGAATTAAAGGTTACTCTGATATAAATGCTGAAACTGCAGCGCTGATTTTTAATAAACCTGAACAGCGAGCAAGTTACAGTTTCCCGATGCTAGGGAAAACTCTTAATCATCAATAATAATTGATTACATAGATTTCCTCTAAATTGTATTGTCATCATTTAAAGGCAGCATTATCTTCGCTCCCGGTGGTGCGCCAGTCTCTGCACCACCCCTGAATCTCTACTACCTCCGTATTATCGTGTGTCTACCTCTATTTGCTATTCGTATAAACCGGAAAGTCAACTACTCCACTATCACTGTTCTATCCATTCAGTTGACTGATAAAGATAACAATAATTGTTTATAAAATATACCCTAAAATTAATAGAACATTAAAATACACTGTAAATACAGAAACAGAATATAACAAAACATCAACATTAAACAAATAAGTCCACAACTAATCATTCCCAAAGAAAACAAAAGTCAAACGTTTAATTTGTTAGTGTCTGTGTAACCAAATCATTTCCTAAAATCAATGTTAATAGATCCCTATTAACATTGATTTTAGGACTGTAAAAACAGTAAAAATTGTAAATTTAATCATGGTATAAAATAACATTTGTTTCTATAAAATAATATTTATTGGATTGTTGGCACCATGCTAAGGTGAGGTAGGAACTTCGGGAATAATTGATATATTTCCTTTAATTTTTTGTATATAATAAGCCATAATAAAATTTTAACTAAAATAATTAACTTTTTCTTTAATATGCGTAAATCGGTCTAGGTATGTTGACCAGAAGTTTTTTATTTTTAAAGTTACGTTTCGCAATGGAGGCTAATCAATAAATAAATTTGACTGTTACAGGGTTTGCAAACCGTTTGTTAGAGCTACAAAGAACGATTTGAAGAATTTTTTCAACTCCATAGCGGATGACTTTGCGGACTTGGTCCAATACAACGAAGATAATCGTATCAGCTCTGACAGCAAGTACAGAAATATCACTGTTAATACTGTAAGTGATAGATTTTTATTAATAGCTGACACAATACTCGGTCCTGACTTTGACAAGCCACTACAAAACTTTGCAATGTGTTTACCCTCTATATAAAAATTAGGATCAGCACACATGTACAATCTGAATCACCAGAAATATCCAATGGCTTCATATAGATGGCGGTATAAGCATCTTATCGTTTTAGAGCAGATATAAAATACTAAGACAAGAGGCAGTCGCCTCAACGATGCGTGACCTCTGGTATTTCGATAGTGAATTCACCTGCCTAGATTGACAACCAAAGTAAATCTCCCATAGAAGACATGCACAAAATGGTATCTTACTTATTGAAATAATGTTAAGTAATGTAAGTCCAGCAAGAAAAAAAAACAAGTCAATTTTTTTAAATCAGAGTATGCCGTTGTTAGATTGTTTTGACGTTACAATCGTTTCCAAATTTCCCATGCAAATTATTTAGAAAATTCCAAATTGCACGCTATTTACAAATAAATATGTATTAAAATCCGTCTGTCAAAACAGCGAATCGGGTTTGTAGTAGTGATAATACGACGTAATTGCTTATATGTGTGCTCACGGCGACGCCAATCCGCATACAAAATAAGGTTGACAGCCATTCTATTGTGTATTATAGTGTTCTATGGTATATACTTTGTACGGTTACACCACACATTTTTATTTAGTAAACGTTGCAACCTACTTTAGCCGGGTGTCGCGTATATTTAAATTTACCTATTTAATTGCAAGCGGACGATCGGCAGTACGTCAACAACCGTTCTTCGAAACACCAACTACTCAAGGAAAGATTTGTCACTCTAACTTTATACTTTATAATTATTTTACTTTTAATTAAACTTTAAACTTTGGTGATCTTTTCCTTCTGACGTGCTCATCAACTAACTACAACTCTACTTCTTAAAAGTGTGTGGCCTTACAAACCATACATTTTATGGTCCTTCGATTGAAAACAGACACTTTGAGGTCCTTCGAGAAAAAGGGTATTTAGTGTTAATTGTCTCTTTGCGGTAGCGATCGGTTCATCGGCCTCCCAGAAGCGGGTCTCACCGGTGAATTGTGAAGGCGCATAATATATCGCTCAGGGACAATTACACTCGTGCTCTCACCACGATCATTTCCAAGACGGAGAAATTCGATGTTGGTACCACTTACGGAAGTTTCGTTTTGCGAAGATTGGATGCAAAGAGGCTGCGAAGAAAGTTGTTGCCTTCGAGTCGTGCAACAACCAACGCGTCTCGCCACTACTGTGGTAAGTGCAAGCCACACTACGAGCTAACTAAACTAACTCACTTGTCGTCGTAAACTGCGGGACAGACTACAACTTACTTATCGCCATAAACTATGGGATAATTACAACTACATAACTACAACTTATCTGGTGTTGCGGATCGGGTCAACCCGAAACGACTGTCACCGAGCGTGTCACCGTAAACTACGGGGCAGCTACTTAACTAACTAACTCTACTACGTACTTAGTGTACCTAGAAAAAACTATATCACGAAAACGTTCGATCTTCAACTACAAATTCAATAACATCAAATCTCTCTGCTCAAACTACAAAAAGGACGGAGCGAGTAGAAAAACTGAGGAGTACTTACTAAGTCGAATCCAATCCCTTGAAGATCAATAGATCGACTGAACAGCGCCACAAAATTATTGTGGAAACTATTGAAGATAAAAACGTCGACTACTTCACAGGGAACGTTTTTACCAAAACTAAAGAGCTTTATGAAACTACTTTACAAAGTATGGAACACTTACTGCTACAAATACGCAAAAGCAAGTCTGTGAATTTCGATTTGATCGGGATGCTGGACGGCACCACCGACGCAAGCGTCAAAACGCTCTTAGAGCAGCAAGAATGCAACTTTAAAGCTCTCGATCGCGTCATGTCTAAAATCGACATTCAATCTATAACTGAGAGATGGGAACTACAAGACAATCTATCGATTTTAAAGTCCAAGTGGGAAGTTATCGATAAACAACACTGGGAGTTGGAAGCAAAACTCAAAGGTTCCAATCTTCAACACTATAACTTGTTTATTACTATGGAGGGGAAATACGATGAGCTACGACGTCAGCTTAACACAAAAATTTAGTCGAAAATCACTATGAAAAATCTGCGCCGAAACTAGAAGTTCCTGAATTCTCGGGAAGCTACATGCAATGGATTTCTTTCAAAGATCTTTTTTTGGAAGCGATTCATAACAATCCTACGATCAACAAGACACAAAAGATGCAACATCTGAAGACAAAGTTGAGCGAAGAAGCTGAGCGCCTAGTACAACATCTCAGCATCGGCGCTAAACACTATGACTCATGCTCGGAGATACTCACCCAGCGCTACGACAATCGGCGTCTTCAGTTTACATCTTTCGTCAACACCATGCTCAACTTGCCTGTAATACAACAGCCCGACAACTACAACTTAAAAAAGATGCATGACGTCATAACCTGAACGGGCTCGCTAACAATAACAAATTTTTTTACGTGGTAGAGCCATGCTGCAGTTATATTAGTAGTATAGTTGTAGCACGAATGGGTCGGCTCGACCGGGGAAGGACCACGCTCTCACAGAATACCAGCGTGAAATAGTAGCTTAATGCTGCTGTATTTCGTATGGTGAGTGTAGAGAACCGGAGACCCTTTTTACTGGAAACGAGGCATTCCATCTCAGTCCTCACGGGTGACAACGCATCTGCATTTTGATTTTTAATGGAGGATAGATGTAGATGTCTATGGGCCGCAGCAACCACTTACCATCAGGTGGACTGTGTGCTCGTTTGTCACCCTATTCTATAAAAAAAAATAACATCGGTATCGAAACATCCACTTGGGACCCACTCATCGTCCATCTAATGTCGCAGAAATCGGATTCTTCAACATACGCGCACTACATGAGAGAACAACAAGACCACAGAGAGCTTCCTAACTTAAACGATTTTCTCTTCTTTCTCGAGAGCAAGTTTATGGCATACGAAACCATGAAAAATCTGAAGAAAGACATACCTAACGTACAAAAACAAGGACAACAAAAAGCAAGTAACTACAAGAACTTTCCCACTAAAAACATTTCTACGAAACTAAAAAGGCTTACAACAAAACTTATTTTACTACTTCCACTATTGGGCAATGTCCTAACTGCAAAGGAGGTCATGTGTTGATGCAATGCCCTGAGTTCATCGACATGAATGCTATACAACGCAATAACACAGTTGCGAAATTACTTGTATGCGAAAACTGCCTGTATAGCCACGGAAATGCTAAGTGCGCATCTACTAAAACTTGCAAAAAATGCAATAAGAGACACCACACTCTGTTGCACAACTATACAAAAAAATGCGCCTACAACTGCTGCAAATACTATGGGCGTGAGGAACAACGACATTTCTTGATCAACTTAACTGCAACCACTTAACTAACGACAACATCGAGGTCTTACTTACTACCGTACAGCTGCACGTACTAACTGCCTACGGCAATTACGTGACACTTCGAGCCCTACTCGATCAAGGCTCGCAAGTGAACCTGATAACTGAGAGTGCCGCCCAACTGCTTAAGCTACCCAGAAGACGACTTACTGCTATGGTTTCTGGGGTTGGAACTGCATCGGGTGACTGTAAAGGAAGCCTACAACTTACCAGCAAGTCTATCCACTCTGATTACTCCTTTGAGATGCAAACACTAATCATGAGAAAACTTATAAATAACTTACGCAACTCAACATTTGAAGCAGCTAACTGGCCTCACTTACAAAACTTAAAACTGGCCGATCCGGAGTACAACGTGTCGCGATCCGTGGACCTGCTGCTCGGGCACGAGACGTGTACTCCGACATCATCTTGGATGGATTCCTGAAAGGAGAAAAACAATCCCCAATTGCACAACAAACTACAAGACAACACACTCAGGGTGGATGCTCTGTGGCAAGATGAAAACTTTCAACGGTCACGTCACCCTCGTCGATCTCAGTGAGATGACTAAATACTGGGAGCATGAGGATATCACTCAGGACGACAAGGACATGCCCAAGGACAACTATTGCGAAAACCATTACGAGGAAACAGTGAAACGCGCTCCAGACGGAAAATACATCGTTGAGATGCCATACATACCTAACTACGAAGAAAAATTGGAAAAAACTAAGTCTATCGCCATCTCTCAGTACCTACAACTCGAGTAACGATTTCACAACAAGCTCGCTACTATGTATTCCGATTTCGTCGTTGTTTCGAATCGTTGACGTCATCGTCACTGGAAAGAGAATGTTACCTACCTCACCAGGGAGTACTGCGGGAACATTCAACTACGACTAAACTAAGGGTTGTTTTTAACGCCTCACAAAAAAACTACAAGCAGCTATAGTCTCAACCAATTGCAAGAAAAGGGTCCCAATTTACAAAAGGACATACAGGCCCTCATATTAAAATGGAGATCCTACCGGTATGCATACACGCGGACATTGAAAAAATGTACCGCTGTATATGGATTACTGAATATAAGCAAAAATTACAAAAAATAATATGGCGCCACTCTCCAGCTGAGGAACTACAAATTTTCCAACTATGCACAATTACCTATGGGATGCAGTGCGCTCCCTGGCTGGAGCTATGCGCACACTCAAACAACTCGCAACAGACGACGGCCACAAGCATCCCGAAGTGTTCCATATACTTCAAAATCAGTTCTACGTTGATTGTAAGCGGTCATAACCAGATCGATTCCGTTAAACAACTTCAAACATCACTTATAAACCTACTGCGCGGCGGCGGTATGAACTTACGCAAGTGGTCTGCAAATCACCCTGCGTTACTAGAACACTTATCCGAGGATCAAATCTCTACGAAGAATAATTGTGATTTCAAACATGAAGAGCCAATGAAAACGCTCGGGCTTGGATGGAATCCACAAAGTGATACTTTCCCTTTCAGCTGGGACTTAAAGGAAAAACTGATACCTCAACCTACTAAAAGCAACTATT